AAGTTAATACAATTCACTATTCCAGAAAACTTTTAAGCTTTATAAGAATCATTATAACAAAGAAAGAATAGTCACCCTGATCTTATATCTGAAATATAATCATCTTAAACTCTGTGATCACAATGTAGTCTTATGAGGACATATCCAAACACATTAAGGTCAAGTCCGTTTTCTTGGGGTTTATTATTGTTATTATTGGGCTTTGTTTCTTCATTTTATTGTTAAGGCAATTGTCACTTATAGCTCAGGCTAGCCTCAAACTTGTTCTGTAGCAGATGATGGCCTTTAAATTCAGATCCTCATGCTCCCACCACCCAAGGACAAGTATGTGCCACTAAGCTGGGCTCTTCCAGACAAATTTAAAAGGCTACTGGTTCTATTCATAGTTTTATGATTAATGTTTCAGTACTCTGAGATAACTACATTTTCAACCTATACTAATTCCTTTATTTATTTTTATTTTTGTATATAGGTGTTTTGCCTGTGGGTATGTTTGTGCACCACATGCATACCTGGTACCCACAATCCAGAAGAGAACATCGGATCCCCTGGAACTAGAATTACAAATGATTTTGAACCACCATGTAGGTACTGGGACTCAAACCTGTGTGTTCTGGAAGAGCAGCAAGAGCTCTTAACCACTGAGCAATCTCTCCAGCCCACAGTCTACATAAACTTTTTAATATAATGAGTAAGGTCATTGTAGCCTCAAATGCCAACCAATTCAAATTTTTCTGGCTTAAATAAAAGACAGTAATATTTATCTTGTACTTACAATTTTTCAATTTAGCAACAAAACATTCTCTCTATAACTCCCAATTTTTAATCCTTTTTTGAGATAGTGTTTTTCTGTGTAGCCCTGGCTGTCCTGAAACTTGCCCTGTAGACCAGGCTGGCCTCAAACTCAGAGATCCACCTGCCTCAGCCTCCCAAGTGCTGGGATTAAAGGTGTGCACCACTGCCTGGATGTCTTATCATTTTAATTGCCCTTTCAGAGCATTTTTCCATGGACTTGCTTTAGTTTTACTCTTTAGTTGCTATCACAAAAATCATAGTTTTCTAAAAATGATTTGCATAAAGAAGGAATGCGCCCCTTTCTACTGTTTTGTAGAAACATCACATTTCTTATTTTTGTTAAAGTTACACACAGGACAATATTTTCTTTCATGGATGTGATGGTTTGACAAAGAAAACTGAAAAGGGTACATTACACCAAACCCAACACACTGTGTGCTTCGGGTTCTATTGCAGGGCTCTTCATATGCTAGGCTGTCAATATGTGCTTGTAGAGTGAATGATAATAAATATTGAATGTCCCTCTAAAGACCATGTTCACATGTTGCTAATGAATATAGCTATGGAGATATAATAATGTAAGTGGGGGAGAAAATTTTATTTATGGTTTTTGAATCTATTCTCTCCAATTGTATCGTCCTACAAGATTTATCTCACATATAGAGAAAATTAGAAGGGTTTTTTAAGCATTATTATTCCAAAAACTATTTTGTGGTTATTCTTGCTAAAAGACTGGGTGTAATAATATTAATATTTGGAAAGTTGAGGAACTATGCTTTGGCCTGTGTCTTACAGTGCTCTAAACAACACATCTGTCAACATATCACCCAAATCTCAGGAAGCTTAGCTGCCATTTTTTGTAGAATGTTTTATAAAAGTTTTTTGAAGTTTAATATAATTACATCATTTCCCTCTTCCCCTACCTCCACCCAAACCTTTGATGTACCTTCCCTTGTTCTTTTTCAAATTTATGTCTTCTTTTTCTTATTGTTTATATACATGTACATGTGTGATACCTAAATACAACCTGCTCAGTCTGTATAATGTTACTTGAATATGTTTTCAAGACTGAGCATTTGGTATTGGATAACCAGCTGGTGTGCTCCTCCCTGGGGAAGACTATTCCTCTTCTCCTCAGCCTTCCTTACTTGCTTGTGGTTCTTTGTCTAGGGTTGGGACCTCCTGAGCTTTCTTTCTTCCAAGTTAGCACATCTATTGGTGCTTTCCTTTTACAAGAAGAATTTTAAGGAACTTTTCTGTATGTGTGTTTGAATATTTGCCCAACAAGTTTCATTCACTTTATACTTGTGTAACTTCAGATTTGAATGTAAGAACTAAAACACTATATTAGAGGTTATGGAGATGACTTGGTGGGTAAAGTGCTTGGTGTGCAAGCATGAGGACCTAAGCTCAGGTCCCTAGCACCCACATGCCCAGTCAGTCTAGCCAAAACGATGAACTACCTGACTCAAAAAAAAAAGATAAGGTAATTGAGTAAGACACCTAACATTAATTACTGACCTCCATCTGCATAAAGGAGAGCATACCCAAGAATACACATACACACACACACACACACAGAGAGAGAGAGAGAGAGAGAGAGAGATTTAACAAGCTCTTGAATAAATAGTTAGAAGACTCAAAGAGACCTATATCAAAAGCATATCAGTTGGGTTGTTAAATCTGCTGTAAAACATACTGCCTAATATGTTACTCATTATTGATCAACATGAATATATGAATCAAACTTTGAAGAGACCATTATTCACAACCGGCATAAAGAATTTTCTTTTCCTGTTTTGTGTTTCTACATTCATTTCTAGAAAGACAAGCATTAGGGATTTGTGCATAGTACAATTTTGTTTGGAAAAAATTACTCCACCTGTCTCTCTGTCTTTTATTTTGATTTCAAACAGTGTTTAAAATTTAGTATCTGCAAAATTCTTCCTTTGGAAACTACTTTAAATATTTAATCAAATGCAATGGACTGTACTAGAAACATTTTAAATTAGTAATTATCCTTAACTTAGAGGTTTTTGGGGGGTTAGTTTTTTTGGGGCCTCAACAATTTCATCTGTAGAGGGAAAAAAGTTTCCCCTAAGAAAATATCAGAGGGATTTTAAAAACAGAAAATAAAGGGTTTAGGGGCATTGACAAATAAACGGGAAGTGTTCTCAGTACATCTTGACTGGATCATGCAAGACACAAATTCATGTAATAATCAGTCTTTCCAGCCAGGGAATGGCACCAGGAACTTGTTGGATACTTTAATGTGGAAATTAATGTATCATCAACAAATATATTTTAAATCACAGTGCTTAAAATTTATCTTTTACTGCCCACTTTGAAACTTAGCCGTGTAGGGAGAAAGCAGATGGTTTCTGTAACTTTGCCTACAATCATTTGAACAGAGTAAGACATTTCACAAAAACTAACAGCCCATGTTAAAGTTCACCAACACCGTGCTTGCCTGGCATTTATGAATTCCTCAGTTCCATCCCTAATGCCACCACTACCCAAAATTAACACTAATAGTGCTGAAAGGTTTTAAAGCATTCTACCATATTGATAAAAGAATACAATAATTTGCATCTATTTTGCTTCCTAGCTCCATGCATTATGCAATTGGAAATACTAGAGAATTTGCAAAGGTATGGTTTGTTAAATGTCATTGAACACCCTGATACATTTTAAATGCTATTTAAATAATGCTTTAAAAATGAAGTTAAATCTAAAAAGAGGTTGAAGTCATAGCTCAAATTTGGACTTACATTACCAGAAAGATCCGAGTTTACTTCTGCCTGTTCACTTCTTTCCAATATGTTCAAACCTGGAGACAGGCCAGGGCTGAAGGCCATGAGGTCGGTCTTGGGCAGACCCTCTCCAGAGCACACTCTCTGTCTCCTCTGCTGCGAGTAAGACCAGCTCCCCACCGCGCTGGAGCACACCAGCACAGGCTTCCCAGGAGCACAGGCTCCTTCGGTGGGCGTCGCCGAGCAGCGCAGCGCTGTGTACAGCAGCAGAGTGAGCACCAACAGGCTGGACACTGCGCAAATGGCAATGATCAGGTACACATTGACATCCACCAGCGATGCCTGGGGGCCCACTGCACCAGTTAATACCGGCAAGGAGGCTTTCTGAATCTGTCCACTTTCCACCAGAGACACCAATACGGTGGTGGTGGGGGCTGCAGTTCATAAGAGAGCCAAGCATTGTAACCAGAGTCAGCATCAATTGCGCGCACCTTCGCCACTACATGCCCTGAAACCACTGACCTAGACACAAACTGGCTCACAGTCCCTCCAGCTCCCACAGCTCCGTGGGACAGCAGCACAGGTGCATTGTCGTTCTCATCCAGCACAAACACCTGCAGAGTCACATTGCTGCCCAGGGCAGGCACACCAGCATCCCGCGCGCTCACCTGGAACTGCAGCAGCTCCAGCTCCTCATGGTCCAGAGGCTGCAGCGCGAACACCTTGCCGCTCTCTGCGTGCACAGACACGAAGCTCGACAGCAAGCGCTCCCCCACCCTCCGCTCCACCAGAGAGTAGGACACTAGAGCGTTCTCCTGCGCGTCAGCGTCTGTGGCCGACACTGTGAAGATGTGCGCGCCAGGAGGGTTGTTCTCCTTCACGAACACCGTGTATTCGGGCTGCGCGAACGCGGGCGCGTTGTCGTTCACGTCAGCCACCTCCACGGACACGCTGGCCGTGGTCCACAGCGAGGGTGAGCCCCCATCCCGGGCGGTCACCACCACCTTATAGTCAGTTGTGGTCTCTCGGTCCAGGGTGCTATCTAGGACGAGCGAATAGTAATTCTTGAAGGTGGACACCAACTTGAAGGGGACATTAGGAGTCAGGGAGCAGGTCACCTGCCCGTTGGCACCAGTCACCAGAGTCACGGTCGGACACCTTGATCAGGGCGATGACAGTGCTAAGTGGAGCATCCTCTTTGATGGGCAAAGATAAGGAAGTGATCTCCAGCTCCGGGGTGTTATCATTTATATCTAACACTTTCACCAAAACCTTGCAGTGATTTGACATTGGGGGAGTCCCTTTATCAACTGCTTTTACTTGAATTTCATAGGATTTTATTTTTTCATAATCCAGGTCACCGATCACTCTAATTTCTCCTAAAATAGAATCCACTTTGAATTTTTCTTGAATGTCAGCAGAAACGTCATTGCCAAAGGAAAACACAACTTCACCATTTACACCTTCATCAGCGTCAGAGGCATTTAACGTGGTCACTAATGTTCCATTCGCTGTAGATTCTACTAACTGAGCTCTATAGACAGCCTGGTCAAACAGTGGGGCGTTATCATTAACGTCGAGCACAGTAATCTGAAGCCGAACTGTCCCTTCCAGCTCTGGCTTGCCCCCGTCAGTGGCTGTCAGTAATAACTGAAGTTCTGGTGTTTCTTCTCTATCCAAAGATTTTCTCAGTTCAAGCGAAAGGGATTTACTGAGTTCGTCAGTCGTCTCTACCTTCAAAGAAAAGTATTCAGTGGGGCTCAGCGTGTAAGTTAAAAGAGAATTGACACCAATGTCTGCGTCCGCAGCGCCCTCTAGTGGAAACCTCGAGCCTAGTTGTCTATTTTCAGGAATAAATATCCTTTGTTCTGAGCCTTTGAAAACCGGTGGGTTATCATTAATATCTTTAACCTTCACATTCACGTGGAAAACCTGCAGAGGCCGGTCCACGATCACCTCCAGGTGGATGCTACACTCCTCGCTCCGCCCGCACAGCGCCTCCCGGTCGATCCGAGAATTCACAAACAAAATGCCATTCTGCAGATTTACCTCCAGAAGGTCCCCGCGGTCCTTGGACGCCACCCTGAACAGGCGGGGCACCAGCTCGGCCAGCTCCAGACCCAGGTCCTGAGCGATGCGGCCCACGAAGGTGCCGTGTTTGGCCTCCTCGGGGATGGAATAATGGAGCTGGCTGTTCCCTGCCTCCCAGGCTGCAAGAAGCAGAAAAGAGAGAAGCAGGCGCCGTGATTCCTGGCCACTTCGCGCCTTTCGTACCGCTGTCACTCCAAGATCATACTTTGTAAATTCATGTTTTCAGTCATTTGTCTCCTCACCATTTTTATCTTTTCTCGGCTGATGACGAAGCTTCCTCCCTTCGGTTTTATCAGTACCTCATTTCCAGCTTCAAGACTTTATGGTGTACAGCGACATCATGTGGCCAATGTGAATTTTACATCCATTCCTTGGTCTTTCAAAGTAGTTTTTGTATTTATTTACAATGCGCACAATTCAATCATTTATAAATTTCGTAATTTGAAGATCTAAGGCAGTTTGAATGTCGTTTGCGAGTATGTAATTCGATGTTTTCATTGAACTATAATCGTAAAGTCATTACAACTGGGTTTGAATTAAAATATGCTTAAATAGTCTCTATATCATTGCATTTTAAATGATTCAGTTGGAGGGGCATGGTGGTGCATTGCTTTAATCCCAACACTCAGCGTCAAGGCACAGGCAAGTGGATCTCTAGGGTCTACATAATGAGTTCCAGGCCAGCTAGAACTACATATTGAAACCCTCTTTAAAAAAAGAAAAAAAAAACAAAAACAAAAGGAAGACATATTGGCTCACATATATTCATTACTAGATTAGATATTCATAATTGATTCTGAAGTTTTAACATAAATTCATTTTGACCTCTAAAGTCTACTTTGTTCTAAGACAGTTTGGGAATTTATTTGCAAATTATATCATCATTTATATGTAGATTTACAAAAGTATAGTTACAAATACATATTTATGACTATTTTAGAGGATTTTCAAAAACATACTTAACATTTCTTCTATGTGTGTGAACAATTTCTTATCTGTTATATCAAGTGAAGATATTTGAGGGTTTATCTTTCTGTTTTTTACAACATAACAACCTATGAGTTTTGTTTTTTAGTTTTTATTTGATTGTTTTTATTTGCTTTGTTTTTGAGGCAGGATCTCAGTGTTTGTACACCTTGTTGGCTCAGAACTCTCTGTGTAGACCAGGTTATGTGAGCTTGAGGCCAGCCTGATGTATTTAATGAGTCCCAGGCTAGCCAGGGGTGCATATGTGAGACCCTGTTTCAAAGCAAATGTGGGTTACTGGATATAATAGAATCTTCAGAGTTCTTTGAGAAAGGTTTCTGTGACTTTCTATTTAATTACCATGGCTACTTTTTGTTATTTCCAGTATATCTGAAATTGCAATAGAATGATTCATCAATGAAATATAAAGTCTTGGCAAATAAATAACTGGTAAAAGTAACAGAAGAGATGTTTAGAATAGGAAATGCAAAAATCATCATTAAGTATTCTATATTTTCATATAATTTTGTTTACTGTAAATTGTCACCACACTGTAACCATTACATGCATGCATCAAATGGGCCTATAGTCCTTTAGAGCATTTATTCCAGAACATATCTCTCTTTCTTAAGTTGATTTCCATCTATAGATGCTCAAGTCCTTCATATAAAATGGTATAGAACATACTTACACATGTCCTCTACATCACTTTATATAACCTCTGAATTACAATAGCTAAGGCTATATAAAAATGTAAATAGCTGTTATATTGAATTGCTTAGAAAGCAAATCCTTCTCATGTTCATCACAGATACAATGTTTTTTTTTCAAACTTTTCTGTCCACATTTGGTTATACTTCTGAATGTGGAATCCATTGGTATAGATGACTGTATGTATGTATGTATGTATGTATGTATGTATGTATGTATGTATATTTCTTGGTGGGAGCCTAAGCATGAAAGTGGAAAAATCTTCACAGACTAATTCTATGGTTTCTCCCAAGTTATAAGACACTATAAAATAACAACTACTTTAATGTCTCTGGAAATAGTCTCAAGGCTATTTGAGTAAATTCTTTACTCAAATTCAATTACTTCAGTTTCATTTAAAGAGTTTTAAATGGACAAACATAAACTAACAGAGAAATCACAAGAGTAGTCCTGAAAGTTATGGAGGGAATGGAAGTAAGAAATGCTCACAAATGTCTGTAACTCCAGTTTCAGGGGATCAATACATCACACAGACATATATGCAGGCAAAACACCAATGCAAGG